CCGGCACCGCTCCCCGCGCCCCGGGCTCTCGCCGCGAGCGTTAAATCTTGCGCTTTCGTCTCCCCCTGCCCCGTGCTCACGCTCGCCGGGCGGGCAGCAATTTTCTGTCGGATGCAATAATCCCGTAGGGTTGCAGGGGAAGGGAGTTAGGAATAGAAAATGAGGAATTTTTTTTTTGTTTCTTCGTGCTGTTTAAATCAGAAGTGATTACACTCGCTCTCCGGCCAGATTAGAATTTCAAAAAAGATCTAGAAGGGGAGAAAAGGGAATCTGGGATGCGCCCCTAATGGCACACCACATGTTTCGATATTAAGCATCATTTAACAATGTGGTAACAGAGACTCTTTGCAAAATTAAGCGGTCGTTTTCCTCCCAACCCCCATCTCCTTCCAACGAGCTCCGCAACATGTTTTTCTCGTCTCCCCACCCAACTCGCGGTTGCTAATCCAACAAGTGAGCTTATGTGATGGAAGGGAAAACAGCTACACACTGCCTTTAGGGAAGGGGGAGGACAAAAAAAAAACAAAACAAAACAAAACAGAAGCCAAGCAAGACGTCCCCAGAAAGGAGAAAACAAAAGCAGCCCTGCCACACGTTGCAGAACAAACACCTGTTTCCAGGGTGAGTGTGTTTTGCCTTCGTCTTCCTCGCCTTTACCCTTTACCCGTCCTCTTTTCTTCGGAGCATTTTAAATCCTCCTTTTTATGATCGATAGAAAGGAACAATCTAAAAAAAAAGGAAACGTATAAAACCAAGGGCACACACGGACCGACGATGGTGCATGTTCCACACAACACTGAGTACACAGTCATTTTGCATTATTATTGTTGTTGTTTTGCAACGCAGCCTCAGGGTTTTGTTTGTTTGTTTGTTTGTTTGTTCTGTTTTGTTTTTAAACGTCCGTAAAGATCTTTTTGATGTTCACACAGTTGGGATTGTTTGTGGTTGTGCAGTTGCCTGTCTTAAAGGTAGCCTGTTTGAATGCACTGTGGTTGATGCCCCCTTCTTCTATCACCATGTACTCCGACTTGCTGAGGGTGGAATTGCTGCGAGCCTTCCTCATTTCCTCGGTGGACGAGAGGTGCTGGCAGCTGCCGACGTGCATGTACTGGGCTTGCTCCTCACCTTCGGTCTCCCGGTGGTAGAAATAGTTGAAATTGGAGACGATGACAGGCACAGGGAGAGCAATGGTTAGCACCCCCGCGATGGCACAGAGAGACCCCACAATCTTGCCCCCGATCGTGATGGGGTGCATGTCCCCATAGCCCACTGTGGTCATGGTCACCACTGCCCACCAGAAGGCGTCGGGGATGCTACTGAAACCCGAACTGGGGTCATCGGCCTCTGCGAAGTAGACGGCGCTGGAGAAGAGGATGACGCCGATGAAGAGGAAGAAGATGAGTAAACCCAGCTCCCGCATGCTGGCCTTGAGGGTCTGCCCCAGGATCTGCAGCCCCTTGGAGTGCCGGGAGAGCTTGAAGATGCGGAAGACTCTGACTAGGCGGATGACTCTAAGGATGGCTAAGGACATGGCTTGCTGGCCGTTCCCTTGCCTCTCGGCCAGCTCGGTGCCCAGCGTGATGAAGTAGGGAATGATGGCCACAATGTCAATGATGTTCATGATGTTCTTGGAGAAGGTGGCCTTGCTGGGGCAGGCGAAGAAGCGGACGAGCAGCTCAAAAGAGAACCAGATGATGCACAAAGTCTCCACCACAAAGAAAGGGTCGGTGAAGGACGACACCATGGAAGCAGCCGAGGACGAGGAATTGGTGAAGACATCAGGTGGGAAAGGGCCACCACCCGTCCCAAAGGTCCCCCCGGTTCCCTCATAGTCGTGATCATCCCTGAACTCAGGCAGGGTCTCCAGACAGAAGATGACGATAGAGATGAGGATGACCAGGACAGAGACTATGGCGATGCCTCGGGCCGGCCCAGAGCTCTCCGGGTACTCGAAGAGGAGCCACACTTGGCGCTGGAACTCCTTGTCGGGCAGCGGCCTCTGCTCCTCCCGAATGAAGCCCTCGTCCTCCCGAAACTTCTCCATGGCCTCCTCCCCCAGCTGGTAGAAGCGGATCTCCTCGGAGAAGATGTCGATGGGGACGTTGACGGGCCGCCGGATGCGCCCGCCCGACTGGTAGTAGTAGAGGATGGCGTCGAAGCTGGGCCGGTTGCGGTCGAAGAAGTACTCGTTGCGGAGCGGGTCGAAGTAGCGCATGCGCTTGCGCGGGTCGCCCAGCAGCGTCTCGGGGAACTGCGCCAGCGTCTTGAGCTGGGTCTCGAAACGCAAGCCCGAGATGTTGATCACCACCCGCTCGCAGCACTCGTGCTCGCCGCCC